CTACAACAATGGCAGCTCGAACAGCAAAATAAACAAGAGAGATTACAACAGTTGTTGGAGGAAAAAGAAAAAAAAACAAGAAGAAAGATTACAGCAGTTGCAAGAAAACCTACAACAATGGCAGCTCGAACAGCAAAATAAACAAGAGAGATTACAGCAGTTGTTGGAGGAAAAAGAAAAAAAAACAAGAAGAAAGATTACAGCAGTTGCAAGAAAACCTACAACAATGGCAGCTCGAACAGCAAAATAAACAAGAGAGATTACAGCAGATGTTGGAAGAAAAAGAAAATAAACAAGAAGATAAATTACAGCAGTTGTTAGAGGAGAAAGAAAATAAACAAGAAGAGAAATTACAGCAGTTGTTAGAGGAGAAAGAAAAGAAACAAGAAGAGAGACTACAGGAGTGGCAACTGGAACAAGAAAGGAAACAAGAAGTACAAATGGAAAAAATTAGTAAATTTAAAAGCGAATTAGGTACGTTAAAGGACGATCTATTGTATTTTACACGAGGAGGATACATTGACCATCGACTTAATCAGCCCAGACAATGACAAGCCCCTTCCAGACCCTGCAGCTAAACCCTAATGCAGACATATTCAGTCCCGTTAGAAGTCACGTCCCAGATATGAATGCCAGTACCAGGAGTGATCCAGTACGAAGAAAGCCACAGGAATTCGATGGGAAGGTTCCGTGGGAAGCATATAGAGCACAATTTGAGCTACTGGCAGAGATGAATGGATGGACAGAGGAGCAGAAAGCTGTATATCTGGCAACGAGCTTGAAGAGACAACCACTGGAAATACTTGGACAGTTGACAGCAGCCGACAGACACAACTATAGAGCTCTAGTAGAGGCTCTGGAACTCAGGTACGGAACCCAAAACCAGTCAGAAGTCTACAGGGCCAGGTTCAGGACGAGAGTCCGTGCTAAAGGGGAGAGAGCCTGCAAGAGCTGGCACAGGACTTGGAGAGCATGACACACAAGGCCTACCCAACTGCACCACCCGATCTCCTCAAGTTGTTGCTGAGGGATTAGTTCGTAGATGCCTTGGACAGTCCGCAACTTAAGATACAAGTGAAGCAAGCACACCTCTCTACCATGCAGGATGCAATGGCCAGAGCTCTCGAATTTGAATACTATGTTAAGTCCAGCACAGAGGTACCGAGGTTGGTACAGTCATCTGGATTGAAGGCCAGAAAAGGTCAGCTT